GTTATAAAACAACCTATTGAACCACTGTGTTATAAAACAACCTATTGAACCACTGTGTTATAAAACAACCTATTGAACCACTGTGTTATAAAACAACCTATTGAACCACTGTGTTATAAAACAACCTATTGAACCACTGTGTTATAAAACAACCTATTGAACCACTGTGTTATAAAACAACCTATTGAACCACTGTGTTATTTATGATGGAAGAATCTCAATAACGTCAGGATAATGTGAGTTAATTAAGTGGATTGTCCAGTAACGAGGATGTGCAACAAAATGTGACAGAAGTATTTTTTAAAAAACGTTTTTCTTCAGACATTTCTACAAATATTCTTCATTGAAAATATAACTGTAGCAACACGTTTTGTGAATACACATGAACAGCCACACATTTGGTCTAGCACCGTTTCCTATTCATACGATTTCACGAAACTAGAGATCTTCATGATAGAGAGAGAGAAGAATGTTAGGTTGTAACATCCAGTTGATCAGATCATTTTATCCTAATAGACGGATAAATAAGTTAACAAACACCGATATATATATATAAACAGATAGACGGAGGAGTAGTGTGTTTGACTGCTCTTTTAATACAAACTTTTGTTTCGTTTTACGAAACCTATTTAACTTGGGATTATTTCCTGAACGAACGTGTACCTTCACTGCGATTGGTCGGGCTTGACACGTGTGCGCTCATTAAATATTATCACATTTCTCTCAAGTGTACCCATTATATATTTCAGTGTTTTCATTAAATACCGTGTTCTATTCTTAGTCCAAGTAAAATTCGTTGGCCTCTGCTGCCCTATCAATGTTTGTGGTAATAGAACAACCACAGTGCAATATTTGTTTTAAACTTGTATGTTATGATGATTTTATTGTGTTATATCGTCTGGTTTTGATTATCAGAGTAGAAACTTCAAACAAAAACAATAAGGGACAATACATTTCTATTGTGGGAGTTAATCAACACTTCTTAAAATGGGTTTCTATCGTAAGATTTATTCAAGACTTTTATCTTTAAACTAAGATATTTTTTAACGTTCTTTGAAGGAGGTTTCCATCACAAGATTTAAACAAGCCTTTAACAATACTGGAGGCACAAAGCTTTTACAATGCTGGTTGAAGAGGTTTCCATCACAAGATTTAAACAAGCCTTTAACAATACTGGAGGCACAAAGCTTTTACAATGCTGGTTGAAGAGGTTTCCATCACAAGATTTAAACAAATCTTTAACAATACTGGAGGCACAAAGCTTTTACAATGCTGGTTGAAGAGGTTT